TCCTTTCATCCTATCAAAAAACCCCTCACGCATGCTGCTGGGGAAATCCCGCCCCTCGCACCCCAAAACTCCTTTACCTCCCCCCCAAAAACCCTTCCCAGGGGACCCTACCCCGCCCTTCTTCCACTACAGCTGAAAACACTCTTGGGAAGTCATTTTTTTTCGCTCCATTCTTTTCTACATGGGCCGAAACCCCCTCAAAAAAACCCTTTTCCCAGCCTCTGGACAAAAGGTTTTTGGGAATCCCCCCCCTCCCCCTAAATTCCAAAAAACGAAAATTTTCTGCATTAATTTACACCCCCATTTCCCCCAGACATGACTTTCCCCTGCCCCCCACCCTTTTTCCTCGCTGCAAATTAACCCACGCTTCACCCCCCATATAAGAAACGTTGGTAAAAATTTACTCTCATAAATTCCCCCTTTTCCTCCCCCGGGCAAATTCCTTTTTCTCCCAGACTTTCCCAAGTGCAACCCCTCACTTTTTTTTCCCTCATCAATTCTAGATTCACCTCTCTTTCATTGGGGCCCATCCGCTGACACGTCCCCTTCCCCAAAAATTGAATACGTTCCTTTCCCCCATACTTCTCCCCCCCAAATTATATTCAATCTTTTTTAAAACCTAATCTTTTTGTTAACCCCAAAAACCTTACTCTTTCTGTTTTCCCCTTTTAAATTTTTTCTTTTGCCACCCCACCCAAAATTTATCCACCAATTTTCTTCAGTTCTCTTCAGAATTCCCCAAAAGCACAGTGTCATCAGCAAAAAGCAGCTGTGGGCCCCCCAATTTTTTTGTGGGGATTTTTATCTTTTAACCCCCACGCCCCTTGCCAAGACCCTCGCATTTTCTTCTCTTTAAAAACCCCAAACTAATTTAAAAAATATTAAAAAAACCCGGTGACATCACACATCCTTTTATTAAAGGATACTTTTACTGGGAAAAAAAACCCTCTTTTTCCCAATACTCTAAATTGAGGCCCCACTATCCCGTAAAAAATTTCACTTCTTTTTTTTTTTTTTTTTTTTTTTTTTTTTTTTTACCATGGTTTGGGAAAAGGGTTTAAAGGGTCCCCCAGCTTTATTGAAAGCTATTTTGGGGGTTTTAAAGGTTTCCCAATTTTTTGACAAGCTAAGAGCTGTTACCCACTTTAGGTCATTTGAAAAACATTTTTTTTGGGTTTTGAGACATAAAGTGGGAACAGGGTTTAAGTTGGAGCCATCTGTGGGCCAGCATTTTTATTTGATCAAATGACGTTATCTCGTTGACATCATTATGCTGAACGAATGTTTTCCCATACTCGAGTCATCCTGGGTATGTATGATCTCAGAGGGGAGTGATGTTTTTGGAGAGGGTACAGCCAGAGTGAAGTTGCTGCTTTCTGCCCGTCTTGTGGCATAAAAGCTTGTTTCGCGCTGTCCTCGAAGTGGATCCAAGTGTGGTATTTTGACAATTTTGGGCCCTTGTCATAACAGTAAGGCCACCCACATCCTCCTATTTTTGAAGGCTCTGCTGAAAGGGACAGATCATCCAGGATGGGTCCAGGCGAGAGTGAGACGTCTTGCTCTGTTCTCTACTCTGTCAAGCAGTCGCAGATGAGAGGGGGGACAGGCAAACCAAGAAAGTGGAGCATACTCAAGGTGTGAGCGTACTTGTGCCTCGTACAGTATCTTGCAACACCTACTGTCAAGCAGATGCGAGATACGGCGAAGTGCTGTAAGCTTCCTGGCTGCCTTGTTTGCAAGATTTACAACATGGTTCTTCATGGTTGCCCCCCTATCCACCCTGTCATACGCCTTTTCCAAATCCATAAATGCCACAAAGACCTCTTTAGCCTTATCTAAATACTGTTCACTTATATGTTTCACTGTAAACACCTGGTCCACACACCCCCTACCTTTCCTAAAGCCTCCTTGTTCATCTGCTATCCTATTCTCCGTCTTACTCTTAATTCTTTCAATTATAACTCTACCATACACTTTACCAGGTATACTCAACAGACTTATCCCCCTATAATTTTTGCACTCTCTTTTATCCCCTTTGCCTTTATACAAAGGAACTATGCATGCTCTCTGCCAATCCCTAGGTACCTTACCTCTTCCATACATTTATTAAATAATTGCACCAACCACTCCAAAACTATATCCCCACCTGCTTTTAACATTTCTATCTTTATCCCATCAATCCCGGCTGCCTTACCCCTTTCATTTTACCTACTGCCTCACGGGAAATTCCCCCACATCACAACTGGCTCTTCCTCACTCCCACAAATTTTTATTCCTCCTTGCCCTTACACGAAATCACAGCTTCCCTATTTCATCAACATTTAACAATTCCTCAAAATATTCCCTCCATCTTCCCAATACCTCTAACTCTCCATTTAATAACTCTCCTCTCCTATTTTTAACTGACAAATCCATTTGTTCTCTAGGCTTTCTTAACTTGTTAATCTCACTCCAAAAATTTTCTTATTTTTAACAAAATTTGTTGATAACATCTCACCCACTCTCTCATTTGCTCTCTTTTACATTGCTTTCACCACTCTCTTAAACTCTCTCTTTTTCTCCATATACTCTTCCCTCCTTGCATCACTTCTACTTTGTAAAAACTTCTCATATGCTAACTTTTTCTCCCGTACTACTCTCTTTACATCATCATTCCCCCTATCGCTCCCCCTTCCCCCCCTGCACCCACTTTCCGGAACCCCACAAACTTCTGCTAAACACTCTAAACACTTACTTTTTTAAAAAACCTCCCCCATACCTCTTAACCCCCATTCCCTATGCTCTCATTCCCCCTCTATCCCCCCAAATTGCTGTTTAATTTAAACCCAAACTCCCTCCTCTTTATTTTAAAAAACCCCTTCACCTCTCTTTTCCCTGATGCTTCTTTTTTCCTTGTATCCCATCTACTTTTTATTTCTCATTGTAGCACAACTAAAAGTTTTTTTGATATATTTTGTGGCCCCCCCTTATAAACATGAAACATCCGGGGCAAACTCAAACAGTTTTTTTTATCTCCCAAAATCCCAAAACCCCAAAAAAACTACGGGTATTTCGCCCTTACTTCATATGTGTTTTACTTATTTATCCTCTTTTTTTTTAAAAATTATGTTTTTCCATAACAAAAAACCCCTTTCTTAAAAAGTTAAATAAAAGGGGCCCCATTCATTTAAAAACCTGGCCCCCCCCAAACTTACCACCCCCACCCTCTTAAAATTTTCCCCTATTTTAGCATTCGGGTCCCCAAACCAAAAAAAATTACTTCTCACTTGGGTTAAAACCCCCCTTTTATACATTCACTTAACATCCCCCCAAACCCCTTTTCCTCCTCTGCATTCCTCTCTTTTTCCCCAGGTCCCATACACGCTTATTATGACCCACTTCCCTCGCATCCAATTTTAAATTTAACCACATAATTTTAAATTTTACACATTAAATATTCTCTTTTTTCCTTCCATAACTGATCTTTAACATTTCTGCTACCCCCTCCTTTGCTCTAAAATCTCCCCAGATAATCCCCGATTTAATCCCATTTATTTCCCCCCACTGAAAATCTCCCACCCCCCTTCAGCCCTTTTTTTCGTTAGACCAGGGCTCCCAAAATTTTTTTCATTCATAAAAATCAGCAATCTTTGTTTTTTTGTCACCGCACTACATCCCGGGACATTTAAAATCCCAGTTTTAAAGTTTTTCTTCTTCTCTTTTTTTTTGTAAATGTATACAGGAGAAGGGGGTTTCTAGCCCATTGCTTCCGGGGGTTTAGTCGCCTCATACGACCGGGAAGGGTTACGGAGGGAAAAATTCTTTTCCATTTCCCCCTGGCAATAGGGAAAAAATAAAAAAGGGGGGGGCAAGGGGGGGGGGGGGGGGCTATTTAAAAAAAGGAGAAAAAACCTGATGTATGTATATTATTTTTGCATGTGCGTGTCTGTTAGTGGGACCAAAGGGGGTAAGGGGAGTACCCGATATCCCTGTTTTCTAGCGTGTTTATGAGGGCAGAAAAAAAACAAACAATCCCACCAACATGCAAAAAGTTACGGTTTTTGTTTTACATCAACGGCAGGGCGGTAGTACCTCCCTGGGTGGTTTCTGTTCTACCAACCCACTATTTTATAAATTTTTTTAAAATTTTTAATATATATATTTTTTTATATAAAATAAAATATAAAATTTTATATATATATTATATATATTTTCGTGCCGAATAGGCCCGAAATTTTTCAATCTTGGGGTTTAAAAACAACGCCATCTTGCCATAAAAGGACAAGTGAAAATTTGGGTATGGAATAAAATTTCCCCCAAAATATTCTGAACCTAACGAAAAAATAATTTATTGGTTTGTTTTAGCTTTAAATTATTGTAAACCCATCTAAAATATATTTAGTTGGGTTTTAAAAGGGTAAAATAAATTGTTAATTTTTATAAAAAGGTTTGGTAAGTTTTTTAAGATTTATTTTGGAAAAAAAATTTTAAATTTTTCATTAACATTAATGAAAAAAAATATCTTTAAACTTTTAAAAGAAAATTTTAAAAGGACTTTATTTTTAAAAGAGTTTTTTGGGTAATTTGGGCCGTTTTACATATTCCCCGGGACGACATTTTATTTATTTTTATATTATATATATTATATATATATATATTTATATTTATATATATATTATATATATAAATATATTATATACAGTGTTTGTGTGTGGGGCACAAAAAAATTTTTTCTTGTTTTAGTTGTCCCCGGTCTTTTAGGGAAAAAGAACTAAAATGGGAAGAAGTTTTTCCCTCAATACAAAGTTTTTTTTCACACAACCTGGCACTGTAGTCCCTTTTTTCTCTGTTGCAGAGATATATAAGGTACTATATATCTTTCTCGCATCTGTTTCCTTGTCGATATTTTATACCTAAGTTAATTTAATTACTGTTTTTTACTTATATGTGTAGTTCAGCATGTCTGGGGGGAGTTAGCGTGATACATAGTTTACATTAAGCAGATATGTATACTTCTACAGGTATACTTATGTTCGGCCTTCTGATGAACTCTGGGGTGTTAAGCTTGGTAATGGGTCGTGGTCTGGCATGGTGGGCATGGTGATGAGGAAGGTGAGTGTACAAATACTTATATATATTATATTATATATATATTTATATTTTTATATATTTAAATTATTATATGTCGTGCCGAATATATAAACTGGGCCAATTAGCAAGAACTCATTTAAAATTAAGACCTCTCTAAAATTTTCTTCTTATACGTTTAAAGATATTTTTTTTTTTATTAATGTTTATGTAAAAAATTTTAATTTTGCTCAAAAAGAATCTTAGAAAACTTACCTAACCTTATTATAACAAGAACAATTTATTTTAGCCTAGCCCAACTAAATATTATTTTAAATACGTTTACAGTAATTTAGTATAAACAAACACAATCAAATATATTTTTTTCGTTAGGTTCAGAATGATTTTGGCGAAATTATTGCATACACAAATTTTCACTTGCCCTTTATATGGCAAGTTTGAACGTTGCTATTTAAGCCAAGATCGCAAGTTCTGCCTATTCGGCACGACATTATATATATATATATATATATATATATATATATATATATATATATATATATATATATAAATCTTGTATACCTGATGAAGAAAATAATTGTTTATTTAGTACCTTGTATCAATTTGCTTTATTTTTAATTTATCAACTTGAGTCATATTTCAAGAAATTTGGGCAAACACATAACTAAATCTTTAGCCATATAAGTTTTACTTTTTTTTATTATATCATAATATAAGATAAAGATTTTAATATCAAATATATTAATTCTTGTATTCTTATCAGTCATTTAATTTACGCTGGAACCACTCTGGAAACATCTTAAAATATTTATAATATGAAATATTTCTGAAGTCTTATTCTACTATGTACTTACAGTATTATAAAACTTTATAATTCAATATGAATCAGTTATAGAAATAATATAAATCCGCCTCTGTTTATTCTCCAGGAAGTAGAAATCGGTGTTGGCCCTTTCTCGATCCACATAAGTCGAACTGAGGTGGTAGACTTTACAGTACCAATAATGATAGATTATTATAGGATCATTGGAGCACGAGGACATCCTGAGGTGGATCCCTGGGGCTTCGTGTTCCCCATGGCACCGCTGGTGTGGGCTGCCATCCTAGCTACACTGATGGTACTTGTTGCAGCAGTGTTCCTCATGTCAGTCTCTGTGGCTCACAAGACTGTCGACCAGAGGAACAAGTTACACATCGTTTTTGACTATGTTCGAATATTATTACAGCAAGGTAATAATGACTAGCATAATTCAAATGACTGAGCTCAATTAAATTTAGTAATTTTTTGTTCATAGAATTACCAGAATGATGCACCTCATCAGTGCCTATTTGATTTTGACCTCATATGTACTGCAAGTTTCCTGTAAAGATCAAGCTTCGAAATGTTTGAAAAGATTAAAATGAATGAAAACAGAGACATTTTAATAAGTTTAGTGTCTTTAATGTGAATTAATGGAGAGGATGTGATAGTTTGAAGTGTTATTTGAACTATTGTTGTTGGGTCATCCTATCTCGGTGAGACCAGCAGGAGACTAAAAAAATCTGAAAAAAATAGTAATCTATTGAACAACTGCAAGGTAGGTCCTGTAGGATAATTTAAATAAAATAAATGACTGGGGTACAACTAGGTAGTAGATTGGTAAACAGCAACCGCCCAGGGAGGTACTATTGTCCTGCCAAGTGAGTAGAAAACGAAAGCCTGTAATTGTTTTACATGATGGGAGGATTGCTGGTGTCTTTTTTCTGTCTCATAAACATGCAAGATTTCAGGTACGTCTTGCTACTTCTATTTACACTTAGGTCACACTACATATGCATGTAGAAGCATATATATACAAACCCCTCGGGGTTTTCTATTTTCTTACTAGTTCTTGTTCTTGTTTATTTCCTCTCTCCAAGGGAAAATGGAACAGAATTCTTCCTCCATAAGCCATGTGTGTCGTAAGAGGCGACTAAAATGCTGAGAGCGAGGGGCTAGTAACTCCTTCTCCTGTATGCATACTAAAGTTAAAAAAAAGAAACTTTTTTTTTTTTTTTGGGCCACCCTGCTTTGGTGGGATATGACCAGTTTGTTGAAAGGAGAAGAAGAAGACTGGGGGTAAAAGTCCCTCAATCTGGAGCAGATCTCTTCTTCAGTCTGACTGACCAAGACTGGGGTACAAGTCCCTCAGTCTGGAGCAGAACTCTTCTCCAGGCTGACTGACCGTGTCAAAAATGCTTCCTCTAAGGTAATGAACTGATTGCATCGCCTTAACATTTAAGCTACTTCTCCCGCTTCAACTACATTCGACTGAAGAAGCCTGCAGTTTAGGCGAAACGTTTCGGAATAAAGGCACCTAACGTCTACACTTTTGTCTTACTTCTCAAATGGGGTACAAGGAGCATGGCATCAGGAAGTAAGAGAGAGAGGTGAAGGTTTAGAAACTAAAAAAAAAGGAATTTAGAGTAAGATATAAGCTACTATTGCCAGAAAGTTGGGCTAGTAAGAGTATAAAGAGGTTGAAGAAGTATTGGATTGATTTGGTGATACAGCTTTAGAATGTTTAACAGAAGTTTGTGGATACAGGAGGGTGGATGCGGGAAGGAAGAGGAGCGATTGGTGGAATAGTGAGGTAAAAGGAGTGTTGAGAAAGAGAAAATTATCATATTAGAGGTTTTAACAAAGCATAAATGATAAAAGGAGGAGGGATATGTAGAGAGACAAAGAAAGGTTAGCAGAGTGTTAAGAAAATGTAAAAAGAGCAAATGAGAGAGTGGGTAGAGCGTTGTCAGCAAATTTTGCTGACAAAAAGTTCTGAAGTGGAATTAATAAGTAGAGAAAGAATAAGGAACAAATGAATTTGGGAGAAATAAACAAAAGTGGAGAGTTGTTCGACGGGGAATTGAAGTTATCGGTAAGATATAGTGAATAGTTTGAACTGTTTAATATTGAAGAAGCTGCGATTTCATGCATTAGTCAGGGAGGTAAAACAGTATTTAGGAGTGAGGAAGAGCCAGATGTGAGTGTGGGAGGTGCATGACACTGTAGCTAAAATGAAAGGGAGTACAGTAGCTGGACTGATGGGATCAAGACAGATATGTTAAAATCAGGTGGGACATAGTTTTAGAATGGTTTCCTCTTTTATTTAATAAATGTTTGAAAGAGGGGAACGTACCTAGGGATTGGCAGATAGTTGGCTCAGTTCTTTTATATAAAGGCAAAGGGAACAAAAGAGGGTGTAAAAATTATTGGGGAATAAGCCTGTATAGAATACCTGGTAAAATGTATGGTAGAATTATTATTGAAAGAATTATGAGTGAGATGCTATAGGAAGGATAAGGGGTTTGTAGGCCAAGTGTTTACAGTGAAGCATATAGGGGAACAGTATTGATATAAAGGTAAAGAAGCTCTCGTTGGATTTATGGAGTTGGAAAAGGCATATGATAGGGTGGATAGGGGAGCAATGTGGCAGATGCTGCAAGTGTGTTTAATAGGTGGTAGGTTACTATAAGCAGTTAAGAGTGTTTACTAGGATAATGAGGCTGAGGTTAGAGTATGTAGGAGAGAGGGAGATTATTTCTCAGTGAAAGTAAACCTTAGACAGGGATTTGTAATGTCAACATGGTTGTTCACTAATATACTGAACCCTATAGATGGGTTGGTGAGAGAAGTGAATGCTCGGGTGTTGGCAAGAGGTGTGGGGTTAAGAGATAAAGAAACTAACACAAAATGGGAGTTGTAACAGCGGCTTTTTTCCTAATGACACTGTGCTTTTGGGAGATTCTGAAGTGAAGTTGCCGTGGTTGATGAACGAATTTGAAAGGGTATGCAGAAAAAAAAAAAATTAAAAGTGAACATCAGAAATAGCAAGGTGATGAGGGTAACATGAAAAAAAATAGGTAATGAAAAGCTGGATATCAAATTGGAGGGAGAGAGTTGAGAATCAACGAATGCATTCACATATCGGGGAGTGCATTGTCAGCAGAGGGTCCATGAATATCTCCGTGAACCTGTTCCACTTCCAGGGGTAAATGGAACAGGTTAACCACGTGAAATGAGAGAGTGGGATACTGCCGGTTTGTTGTAAGAAGATCTTTTCATATCTTCTGGAATTTGAAAAAAAAATGAAGTAATTTATTTTTAATCGTGTTGACTCATCTGCATCACTTTCATTACATTCACTTTTGTTGTACGTAAACATGTGTGTTGTAATATAGTTTTCTGTATTTTCAGGACTTTCTCCAAGAAACTTTTACAACCTCTATTCCAGTATAGACAAACAATAGATAAAGAAGCTAGTGTAGGCGTGTGCATTCCTCTATACGAATCCTTTTGGAGAAATGCCTAAAACTTGATCAATAGAAAATCATTGGATTCCTTTTGCAAGCGATTCTGTGTCCATGTTCACATTAATTACCATGTTTTTATTAATATTCTGCTGCTGTGACAACCATTACAGATATGACGGTGCCTGCGTACTGGTGGTGGGAGCGGGTAATGTTAGTTTTGTGGATGATGGTGACGCTGGTGCTAACACGGAGTTACTCTGGCAACCTCATGGCTCTCCTAGCAGTCAGACACATCTCTCAACCTTACCAGTCACTACAAGATGTTGTTGACGACCCCTCCGTTAAGATGATATGGGAAAAGGGCTCTAATGTTCTCAGTTATTTAGATGTACGTTGAAATGTGTCAGTAGTAAGTCGTCCTGTATCAGTAATGAGTCGTCCTATGTAAGTAATGAGTTGTCCTATGTAAGTAGTGAGTTGTCGTATGTGAGTAATGAGTTGTCCTATGTGAGTAATGAGTTAGTCTGTTTCATTTGTGAGTTGATCTGTGTACTTTGAAGCTCGGTGCTAACGCAAGTGAAGTGTTTAGGATGTTTTCCGTGTTCGGAGCAAGTGCAAATACAGATGAAGACGAGGCTTAAGGCTTAAGGAGCTAGAAATAGAACAGCAATTAGAGGAGGAACACATAAAGATTTATTACTGAAATAAGGAAGGGTATACCAGCTACATCAAACGTAAATTAGTCTGTTAAAGAGAAGTGAAGCCAAGGATAAAGAAAGTTGTTGAAGCTGCTGTCGAGACAACTGATTACCCCTTTGTTCCCGGAACAATGTGGTCCAGCCATCGAGATCAACACAGCTAGCAAGAACGAACTATCTACGTTTCCGTTACACTCTCATGACGCATTATAAAATACATGGAATGTACATAATCAGCAGTATATTGTAGGATACATTGGTCAGGTTATTGGCGAAAGAATGGATATTTATATATATATATATATATATATATTATATATATATATATATATATATATATATATATATTTTTTATTATTCATTATTGTATTTTATGTTTTTTGTCATAAATATTCAGACAAGAAAAAATATGAATTGATATTACTACCACATGACGCCCAGAGATCTGATCCCACTGGGACAAATTGATACTGTGGGCTTATGTGTCCGTATCTGCCGATCTTGTACTCCTCCTTGTCGACCGACACTGTGATTGATGTAGATGTCAGCCAGCGTCGACACACAGGTATAGTCCCATTCTTCCAAGGATAGATGGTGCTCCCATCGGGGCGGTTTGCAGGGTTGTGAGTATTGTTGGCTGCTAGTGGTTGGGGCTCCCTCTTGGCTAGGCATCCAGCTGTAGTAAGACTACATATATATATATGTCGTGCCGAGTGGGTAAAGCTTCCGATTATAGATTAAGTAGCAATGCTCTTCTTGCCGAATAAGGCAAGCAAAAATTTGTATGCAATAATTTCACAAAAATCATTCTGACCCTAACGAAAAAAATACATTTCATTATGTTTATAATTAAATTATTGCCAACTTATCTAAAACATATTTAATTGGATTAAGCCAAATTATATTGAGCTTGTTATAATAAGGTTATGTAAGTTTTGTAAGGTTCTATTGGTACTAAATTATTAATTTTTACATTAACATATATAAAAAAATATCTTTAAACGTATAAGAGAAAGTTTTAGAAAGGACTTAATTTTAAATGAGTTCTTGCTAATTGATAAATTTTACCTTTTCGTCAGGGTAGTAGTAGGTTGGTAGACAACAACCTCCAAGGGAGGTACAACCATCCTAGAAAGTGTATGTTAAACGGAATTCTGTAATTGTTTTACACGATGGTAGGATTGCTGGTGTCTTTTTCTTTCTGTCTCATAAACATGCAAGGTTTCAGGTATGTCTTGCTACTTCTACTTACACTTAGGTCACACTACAATTGCGTATAGAACATATATATATACACACCCCTCTGGGTTTTCTTCTATTTTCTTATTAGTTCTTTTTCTTGTTTATTTCCTCTTGTCTCTATGGGGAAGTGGAACTGAATTTTTCCTCTGAAAGCCATGTGTGTCGTAATAGGCGACTAATATGCTGGGAGCAAGGGTCTAGTAACACCTTCTCCTGTATATATTACTAACTTTAAAAAAAAAAACTTTCTTTTTTCTTTTGGGTCACCCTATCTCGGCGGGATACGGCCGGTGCATTGAAAGAATGAATTTGGTACACAAGACTTATAGGATACATTGCTGTTACAAAGATGACATATACAGTACATGAGGTTAAGAGGTACATTTCGAGCACATATTGCTATGGGTTTGCCACAAATTACAATGTGAAAACATCATCCAGCTCCTCAGAGTTGGGGCGCGTGCCTAAGATACAGCGGGACTTACCTCTTTGAACCACAGTGCTGCATCGCTGGGGTAGAAAACTAGCTGCTCTGGCATCCCCAGTTACCCTGTTGAGTCTTTTGCTTAGCTCGTTAAGGAATTTAGATGCACTCATTTCCCTTTAAAATAGCTAGAAATACATTTTACAATTCAAAAAAGAAAACCAACCTGTTTGAACTAAAAATATGTTGGTTCTCCCTTACCATGAAAACTGTATTGATATGTCTTCTCTTAAGAATTTTAATATCAAAGTTGAATTTAATCTTGATACAGTTAAAGAAATTTCCAATAAAAAATTCCCCCCAAAATGCTGACGGATGTATCTATAAGATTCCTTGTTAAATATGTGATGAAGTTTATGTCGGTCAAACTGGTAAAGTCTTGAACTTAGGTTAAAACAACAGAAATATTGCATTAAAAGTGGTAGTAGGTTGGTAGACAGCAACCACCCAGGGAAGTACTACCGTCCTGCCAGATGACTGTGAAACAAAAACCTGTAACTGTTTTGCATGATGGTAGGATTGCTGGTTTCTTTTTCTGTCTCATAAACACGCTAAGATAACAGGGATATCTTGCTACTCCTACTTACACTTTGGTCACACTTCACAGACACGCACATGCATATATATATATACATACATCTAGGTTTTTCTCCTTTTTCTAAATAGCTCTTGTTCTTTTTTATTTCTTCTATTGTCCATGGGGAAGTGGAAAAGAATCTTTCCTCCGTAAGCCATGCGTGTCGTATGAGGGGACTAAAATGCCGGGAGCAATGGGCTAGTAACCCCTTCTCCTGTATACAATTACTAAAAAAGAGAAGAAGAAAAACTTTATAAAACTGGGTTGCTTAAATGTGCGTGGATGTAGTGCGGATGACAAGAAACAGATGATTGCTGATGTTATGAATGAAAAGAAGTTGGATGTCCTGGCCCTAAGCGAAACAAAGCTGAAGGGGGTAGGAGAGTTTCAGTGGGGGAAATAAATGGGATTAAATCTGGAGTATCGGGAGAGAGTTAGAGCAAAGGAAGGGGTAGCAGTAATGTTAAATGATCAGTTATGGAAGGAGAAAAGAGAATATGAATGTGTAAATTCAAGAATTATGTGGATTAAAGTAAAGGTTGGATGCGAGAAGTGGGTCATAATAAGCGTGTATGCACCTGGAGAAGAGAGGAATGCAGAGGAGGGGAGAGAGATTTTGGGAGATGTTAAGTGAATGTATAGGAGCCTTTGAACCAAGTGAGAGAGTAATTGTGGTAGGGGACTTGAATGCTAAAGTAGGAGAAACTTTTAGAGAGGGTGTGGTAGGTAAGTTTGGGGTGCCAGGTGTAAATGATAATGGGAGCCCTTTGATTGAACTTTGTATAGAAAGGGGTTTAGTTATAGGTAATACATATTTTAAGAAAAAGAGGATAAATAAGTATACACGATATGATGTAGGGCGAAAAAGACAGTAGTTGTTGGATTATGTATTGGTAGATAAAAGAATGTTGAGTAGACTTCAGGATGTACATGTTTATAGAGGGGCCACAGGGAAGAGTATATGGAGAAAAAGAGAGAAGTTAAGAGAGTGGTGAAGCAATGTAAAAAGAGAGCAAATGAGAGAGTGGGTGAGATGTTATCAACAAATTTTGTTGAAAATAAGAAAAAGTTTTGGAGTGAGATTAACAAGTTAAGAAAGCCTAGAGAACAAATGGATTTGTCAGTTAAAAATAGGAGAGGAGAGTTATTAAATGGAGAGTTAGAGGTATTGGAAGATGGAAGGAATATTTGAGGAATTGTTAAATGTTGATGAAGATAGGGAAGCTGTGATTTCGTGTATAGGGCAAGGAGGAATAACATCTTGTAGGAGTGAGGAAGAGCCAGTTGTGAGTGTGGGGGAAGTTCGTGAGGCAGTAGGTAAAATGAAAGGGGGTAAGGCAGCCGGGATTGATGGGATAAAGATAGAAATGTTAAAAGCAGGTGGGGATATAGTTTTGGAGTGGTTGGTGCAATTATTTAATAAATGTATGGAAGAGGGTAAGGTACCTAGGATTGGGAGAGAGCATGCATAGTTCCTTTGTATAAAGGCAAAGGGGATAAAAGAGAGTGCAAAAATTATAGGGGGATAAGTCTGTTGAGTGTACCTGGTAAAGTGTATGGTAGAGTTATAATTGAAAGAATTAAGAGTAAGACGGGGAATAGGATAGCAGATGAACAAGGAGGCTTTAGGAAAGGTAGGGGTGTGTGGACCAGGTGTTTACAGTGAAACATATAAGTGAACAGTATTTAGATAAGGCTAAAGAGGTCTTTGTGGCATTTATGGATTTGGAAAAGGCGTATGACAGGGTGGATAGGGGGGCAATGTGGCAGATGTTGCAAGTGTATGGTGTAGGAGGTAGGTTACTGAAAGCAGTGAAGAGTTTTTACGAGGATAGTGAGGCTCAAGTTAGAGTATGTAGGAAAGAGGGAAATTTTTTCCCAGTAAAAGTAGGCCTTAGACAAGGATGTGTGATGTCACCGTGGTTGTTTAATATATTTATAGATGGGGTTGTAAGAGAAGTAAATGCGAGGGTCTTGGCAAGAGGCGTGGAGTTAAAAGATAAAGAATCACACACAAAGTGGGAGTTGTCACAGCTGCTCTTTGCTGATGACACTGTGCTCTTGGGAGATTCTGAAGAGAAGTTGCAGAGATTGGTGGATGAATTTGGTAGGGTGTGCAAAAGAAGAAAATTAAAGGTGAATACAGGAAAGAGTAAGGTTATGAGGATAACAAAAAGATTAGGTGATAAAAAGATTGAATATCAGATTGGAGGGAGAGAGTATGGAGGAGGTGAACGTATTCAGATATTTGGGAGTGGACGTGTCAGCGGATGGGTCTATGAAAGATGAGGTGAATCATAGAATTGATGAGGGAAAAAGAGTGAGTGGTGCACTTAGGAGTCTGTGGAGACAAAGAACTTTGTCCTTGGAGGCAAAGAGGGGAATGT